CCTATTGCCATCTGTGTTTGTCCGTCGGCGTCCGTCGTCCGTCGTGTGTTAACATTTGAACATTTTCAGCTTCTTCTCTGAAACCGCTAAACCAATTTCAACCAAATTTTGTATACAGCATCTGTGGGTGAAGGGGAACAAAAGTTGTGAATTTCATGGTCCCTGCTCCCCTGGGGCCTGAGGGGTGGGGCCAAAACCACTAAAATTAGTGCAATCTTTAAAAATCTTCTTCTTTACTCCTGGACATCAAGCAGTCAAACTGTTTGCATGATTGTAATCAGCAATGAGTCCTCTACCAAAATTGTGAAATTCATGACCCTGGGGTCAGGGGTTCTAGTGCTAGGGCAGGGCTGAATAAGTAGGTATTGAAAATGCATTATTTCTTTGAAAATCTTCTTCTCTGTTCCTGGGTATTAAATAAACCAACTAAGTACATAGTTATGATGAGCAAGAGTGCCTCTACCAAAATTGTGAATTTTATGGCCCCAGGGTCAGGGGTTCTTGTTTTAGTGTGGGGCTCTAATGATTATATAGTGAAATGCATGAATTCTTTGAACATCTTATCCTTTGCTCCTGGTTAATATGGTAATGATCTAATTACATATTTAAGGCCAGGATTTATTTTGTTTTCAGTTTTACAAACCTTCCGCTCAAGGTTTTGAATTTTCAGAAAAAAATAAAAAAAAATTTTCCGATGTCAAATTTGAGTCGGGATCGAGATTTCAAATTTACGAACTCGCACTTCCGGTTTTACGATGAAACGGCGGGTAAATAAAGCTAGATCTGAGAAGATAGCTTGGTTTAGTGTAAAATTCATCGATAAGAGTGCCATTCAAAACGTTTCACCCGTTCAAAGGACAAATAAAATGCTGACGACTTTGTTGCACAATGACATGCTGGTGAGATAATTATGTATTCGTTTCAAAAGTATCTGTCTGTAAATTATAGGGATGTCAATTTTACTCGGACAGCTTAGTCGAATAGTCGGATGCTTTAGCCGAACGATAGTTGAATATTCGTTTAATTTTAATTATTTTTTCATAGCATTTTCACTGTTTGTCTTTTACTGACTAGTTTACAATATTTAATCTACCTTATCACCATTATACAACGAATTTCTGAATTGTTAACATGTACGTAGTACAATAAAAACTGTACATCAATATGTACATGTACCCAGTGTATTTAATTTCAAAATTAATATATTAGCTGCACATTTTATCTAAATGCAGAATATCAAACGCTCGTATTCGTCCTTTCTTTACATAACGGTAGTACATGTACCCCATAATTGAGGCCAATTTCTACGTGTCCGTCAATTATCTTTGACAGGTAAACAATTAAAGCATGTCTCTTATAAAAACAAAGAGAGGGCGAGAGCTTGGGATAAATTTTTGATTATGAAATTTTGTGCAAACAATCAATAATTGTATGAAATTAATATCAGAAAAAGAAAACACGGTTTAATTAATCTCATAACTGACCCCAGTTGACATGTATTTACAATTATGTAATAGCTATTTAATTAGAATTCTTTCTGAATAGTTGTATCACATCAGATCTTAGTTAGAATCTACAAAACTAAACAACTGCCCTCTCCATTTAAAACAGTAAGAGGTAGACAATCATTAATACCGTAAATCTGGAAATTTTTACGTCAATTTTATTTTGCGAATCTGGGTCAAAATGCTATTGATTAATTTTTGTGTTTCAAAATTTTGCGAATGACCACTTCTTTGTTTACATTTTCTTATTGTTGAATTATTTTTAAGAAAAATATTTTTGCGAATGCCATGAATTCGTAAATTTGCTAAAAATTTATCTACAGCAAAAATTTCCAGATTTACGGTAATCATGTTTGTGGTTTTTCTTTCCCACTCTGCTTTTTTGTCATTTTTGCGGAGAACTTACTTTAGGAAAATTTCCCTTGAAGACTGTGTATATGTTTGACTGATTCAGCATATTATACATCATGTTTGATGTTATACCGACTGCAGAAAAAAAAACTTCAGATTCACATAACCTTGATAACACAGTTTCCTTTTTTTAAGCTAAACCAAAACTGTAGATTTTGAAGACATGTTTGCCGAACATACATCGACGTACAAACTTTGAACAGTTATACCATACCCTTAATTTTACATATGAAAATATTGATCTGTAAATAAATGAAATGGGCAAATATAAGTTTATTGCCTTGAATTCAAAATTACTTCGATGAAACACATTTTTAATGAATAATCGACTAAAGAAATTTTAGTTGATAGTCGGTATAATCGAACGATAGTTGAGTACTCGAATATTCGTTGGCATCCCTAGTAAATTATTTTCCTTCCCCAGGTTTTAAACTGCCCGTGGTAGCTATTGCATATTGCCAGCGACATTGTTTAGGTCTCTGTTTAGCTTACAGTATCATTCTTCAGAAAAGGGTTGCTTATGCATCAGATGTAATGAATAAAACTATGGGAGAAGTTAAGTCCATTTGAGGAAGAAATAAAAAAAAATTCAACTATTAAAAGGCAAGAATATACAAATATATACAGGCATGTAGTATCATTTGTATCAGCCAGAAAAATTATTTCACACTTAATTGAAAAAATGTTCACCCTACTCCCCAATACTCCCTGTCTGTTTTATGATAGGAATTATAATTTTAGGCATCAAGTAAATTTTAGAACAATGTCTACACATTCACCTAACACATATTAAAAAAATGTAGTTATATTGAAAGACTTTTAAAGAATTGATTTTTTAAAATATATTTTGATCAACATCACAAAATTTATATAATTGGCCCAAACTGGCAGATGATGAAATAAGCAATTAAATGTTCTACTTTCCTATTTGTAAGCATTATGTGTCCAGTGGTAAGGAGCCTATTAGGATAGCATAAAGAAGAATGTACAAATGTTAATAATTCATTTATCAATTTTTTTTTTTTACTTCCTTCTCCTTCAGGAGTTTTTTATTCTCATGTTCATAACTAAACCTATTGTAAATATAAAAAAATGCTGGCCTTATAATGAAGAAAGGGGCCTCTTTCAAAATAGATAATTTCAGGGCCGCTGGGTCAGGGGTACCATGGGGTACTTTGACTAAAAATAAATTAATGCTTTGAAATCTGCCCTTGGATAAGCAATGGTGCCTCTTTCAAAATTTGTGAATTTCATGGCTTTTGGATTAAAACAGGAACCAAATACAATCGCTGGAAAGTTGTTACATGATACCCAGGTGACCTATAAGGCCTGTGGGCCTCTTGTATAAGAATGCATTGGCAAAGAGAGATAGCTGCTGAAAAACTGAATGCTGCTATATGAGTCCCTTGGGATTAATTAGCTTTCCTCCTGAAGAAAATCCAGAGCATTATCTTTATCTGTCACATTGAGATGAATTACCACCCCTGTCTGCAAATGAAGTTTGTTTTGAAGTTAAGTCAATTTGGAATGCTATGAACACTCTGAAATGTGGATTTGAATATAAATTTTCATAATTTATTTTTGTTTAATAGTTATGATTTCATTGAATTCTAAAAACAAGAAATAGATTAAAGAAGATTTTTTGATTTACTTTTGTTACTTATGTTAATTCAAGAATATTGTTAATTTTTAAGGTAGTTGTATAAAAACCCCATTCTATCATTAATACTGAAAAAGTTCGTATTGTAACTTTAAAAGAAAATGATGAGAGAGGTACAATTAATCCCTTGGGATTAATTATCTAGCCTGCTGCAGAAAATTTAGTAGGCTTTTCTTTATCTGTCTTTAAGATTAATGGAAACCTTTGTCTGCAACTGCTGTTTGTTTGAAGTTAAGGTCAAGCCTTCATGATATTTGCATTCATTGAAGGCTGGATTTTATGTAACACAAGCTTCATAATTGTTTAAATATACATTCAATGTTAAGTCATTCTTTACTGCCTTATGTAAGTACAAGGATATTATTTTCAGGTTTTTGAATGTTCAGGAATTATCTTGAAATTTTAAGATTACAGTTGCTGTTGCTTATTCTTCGTACATTTTGAATCATTCCGTAAGCTGCACCCTTTTAATTCTACCCCATGGCGGGGCCCTTGCTGACTGGTCAGTTTTCTAGTTTTCTCCTTTATTTTCATCGAAATTTTTTCACCGCGTCTCAAAACAAGAATCTTTTTATGAGTGAAAACAAGATTTCAGTCACCTATGCACTTTTCATTAGAAAAAAAAAACACAATCTTGATTTTATTGAAACACTATGAGAACATTTTCATTTTTTCAATGTTTATAATCAATTATAATCAAGCTAAAATTGTTTGCATCGAAATGGCTTAGTCATTGCGATTGTGATTTAGCCGTAAACATCACAAAACCGAAAGTTAATTTGATGATGGCCACGCGTGTCAAACAAAGTGAAAGAGATATACACAGGGACTAGCAGCTAAATGTCAATCATTTTCAAGTACCCAATGATGGACCGTAATTTATTTGATTGACGGGGGAATACAGACCAGATAAATCTGAAGGCGGTGCTTATTATCTCGGGCTTTAAGCAAAAAAGTCATTTTTTGCGGCTTGTAAATATTTTGCTGAAGAGGAATATTTTCATACATTATGGAATATTGAACCCTGATTAATTTTATCACATCTGATATATCACATATCGTTTTGAACCTGCCTGACAGCCAGGGTTCATTTTTTGCTGATATATAGACCTAATACATAAAATTTTGTACTTGTCATGATATTACAAAGTTTGACATCATAAAAACATGATAAATACTGGACGCAGATGAAGCCAGAAGGTAACATTGAAAATTTTCACCCACAAATATCCACCATCAACTATGGTATAGGCAAGGGTTGACAGGTTTTTGCAGGGTTGTAATTTTCAATTTTACCCTTATCTACATGATCTACTTTCAGTGTGAATTATAAATATTCTGCAATCTAAATGACTTCTATTTTTTAAGAATAATGTGTAATTTGTTTTTTTTTTTTTAAATCCTCAAACATTTTACTGTTACAGTAAGCAGTTCTACCCCAAAGACAACAGCAGCAACACCACCCACTTCAACAGGTGAGAAAAACAATGCAAAACATGCAAAAGGAAAAAATATAATCTTTGAAATATTAAAAAAATAAAGTAAGATTGAAAAATAGTTGAAATGCAATATTTATTTACAATTATTTCATCTTATTTCATTTACTCTTCTCGAAGAAATTAAAAATATTTATGTTACAGTATCTAAACCTGTATATGCATAATTCTGTACTAGTGGTTTGTATATACAGTAGAAAAAATTGCTAATGCACCACCTAAGAGAATTAATATTTTACTTTTAAACCAGTTTATGATGTATTTGATATATTAATATGCTACTTTACTGAAAAATAAGACATATTAATGCCAAGCCTTATAAATAACTACTATGTTTACTGAAGTGTGAGCAATTCATAGAAAAAAATAAAATTGTGTCTATTCCATTTTCGAAGAAAAAAATTTCAATATTTTCTTTATATTTATTTTTACATTAATTTTGTACTAATTAAAAACTCAGAAAAAAAAGTTACACCATATGCGGCGTTTGACGCTAGAAGAGCATGCTAAATTAGTATGGCATCTGCAGGGGTTTCCTTTAGAGAAATCTGTAAAAAATGAAAACAATAAAAAGGTTATGAATTCCACTCATGAATAATTGTTGCAAATAGATTAACAAACATAAAAATGATTACTTTAGATAGCCACGGCACTAAGTTAGCAGCATCTGAATCTAAAGTTCAGTAACGTTTTTCGTCTTATACGAGGGCTGATCCAAAAGTAATGTCCCAGTGTCCATATCTTTTATACTTGGCGTCATTTTATCAAATACAAGATACCAAAAGATGCACAAATATAAATCTAATTAACATTGAAATTTTGATTTAATAATGTTTATTTGAATTTATTTTATAGATGTTTAAAATATAGAGCATAGGGGGTGTCGCCGCGTCACAACGGAATGTCACGTTTTAAAGTGTATTTTTTCTTAGAATGAAAAAGACAAACACATTTAAAGCACATAATCTCCCATTTTTTTAAAAGACACAATTCTCGTCATTTTCTAGTCTGTAATTGAAAATTAAATGACGGCATTGGTATTTGTGATCATGAACATTGTTGTTTTACTTTGTTGAATTGAACAAAGGCATTGTCGAAATGGGAAAAACGGCTCGAAGGGTTCTAGTGCATTTTTACTTCAAAATATGGAAATCATCACAAGCGACAGTTACATTAATTAATCAGACTAACAGAATACAGAATGTAAATAAGAGACATCTTAATAGATGGTTTCAGCAATTTTGGGTGGGTGTTTGGTCACAGAATGACCAGCAGAGGAGAAGATGACCGAAAGATAGGAGATCGGACGGAAACGTTCAAAGGTGTCTGACGTTGTCAAAAAAGACAGACGTATAGAGTGACGTGAATTTTTAAGTTTGTCTTATGCTACTGTTCAAAAAATTTTGACAATGGGCTTAATTATGAAAAGAGTGGGTGTATAATCATTATGGTACCAATAATTCTTAAAGAAAGTGGAATTAGTGAAAGTGGTTGCGAATCACAAATATTTTTTAATGAAACGAAGGGGAAACACTTAAAAGTATAACGGTGCATATCCCGTCATATGACGTTATATTTAGGTGCGGCGACTACCATAAACGCACGTTGTTTAAAATAAAATATTTTGGAAAGTATACATCATATTCCTTTGAATTTTTCAGGTCGGATTTAAAATAAATAAAGTTTTCATCATGTATAATTTTGTTGCTTTGCGTCGATTTATAGCAATTTTATCAAAGTTGTGACATTACTTTTGGATCAACCCTCGTAATTATTAAAAATTTACTTCAAACTTTTAAATTTCAACTTTCAAAACGTTTTGGGTTTTTTAAAATTTGGTATTTTGATCCAAACATTCAAATTTCAAATAACCAAAACACTGTGAGTTTTAGATTTTTATTTTAAATATCCAAAATATCTATTTCCAATCCCGATTTGAATTTTGAATATTAGTTCAATATTCTAACTACTGGTACATGTGATGTATTTAAAAGCTCTTTTGCTTAACAAAAAGAGTTTTTGAAAATTAGTTTCAAAATTCAAACAAGGTTTGGAATTTGATTTTTTGGATATTTGAAGTAAACTTCTAAAAACTCAGAATGAGGAATTTTGTATCATCATAATGCATTGACTGGAGGGAAATTACATAACAAATCAGTAAAATTTGATCCCCACAAAAATTTGTGTTTCTACAGTTTACCTAAATTTCAAACATTGCCACTTTAGCAAAGAAATTAAACTATAATCATGGATTGTAATGTAGGTAATCATTTACTGATTGGCCTGAACTTGAATGTTTTATAGGAAATGAACTAGAAATAACATCTTCAACATGACGTAATATGGTTTCATTGGCACTAAAAAGCAAGAGACACTTAAGAATTTCTGAAAAATCAAAACTCTTCAGTATTAAAGTAGGTTGAAAATGGTGTATTTATCACTTAGACTGTTTGTGACCACATATCTTTTGAACATGACGTAATTAGCTCACCTCGAAGAAGTCGAGATGAGCTTAAATATGCTATACCCCCGGCGTCGGCGTCCCAGGTTAAAGTTTTAGGAGCAAGTCCATTCCTAAGTGTAACTATAAGCCCTAGCTGAACCAAACTTGAATGGATGATGCTCTAGGGATGGACACTACCATAATTACTTCAGATGCTGGATCTGACCTACATTTTCCAGATGAGTGACCAGGTTAAAGTTTTTGGAGCAGGTCCATTCCCAAGTAACTATAAGCCCTACCCGGATCAAACTTGCATGGATGATGCATCTAGAGATGAACACTACCAGACTTGCTTCGGATGCTGGATCTGACCTACATTTTCCAGATAAGTGAGCGGGTTAAAGTTTTTTGGAGCAGGTCCATTCCCAAGGAACTATAAGCCCGACCCTGACCAAACTTGCATGTATGATGCATGTGGGGATGGACACTACCAGACTTGCTTCGGATGCTGGATCTGACCTACATTTTCCAGATGAGTGACCAGGTTAAAGTTTTAGGAGCAGG